AAAGTCTAAATAACTTTGTGTGTTTGTGTTTGTACTGCAGGTGTGTTTTTCCTCACCTGGATCCTTAACAGGTACAGGCTGGTCCCGCTGGAATTCATAGATCAGGTGATCATGAGCTACGGTGGCCTACGAGGGGCTGTTGCGTATGGCCTGGCTGTGATGCTGGATGAAAACAAGATAAAAGAGAAAAACCTGATGGTCTGCACTACACTCATTGTGGTTTACTTCACTGTCATCTGGCAGGTAGTGAAAGTTTGGCTTTTGTTATTAAATGTATACATTATTTTCTTTCTTCTTACACAGTCTGCATTAGAGCTAAAGGTTTGCACATTACTGCTTCACATTGTTGCAGGGAATGACGATGAAACCTCTGGTCACGTGGCTGAAAGTAAAGAGAGCTGAAGTGAAAGAGCTCACACTCCTAGAAAAAATGACAAACAAGGTAAATCTCAAAAAAACATCTCATGTTTCACCTACACAACCATTTTCTGTCCAGTTATTAGAGTCCTTCTCCTTTCTTTAGATGTTTAATCACACTCTGGTCGCCATAGAAGACATATCAGGACAAATAGGACACAACTGTCAGAGGAGCAAGTATGAAAAGACTTGGTACATAAATTCAAAATGCCTTTTCATTTTAAAATAGGCTACAGTGATCTGTTTTCTTTTTGCTAAGGTGGAAGTATTTTGAGGAGAAGTGGATGTCGAGGATTTTGATGAAGCCATCTGCAAGGAAGAAACAAGATGAAGTTTTTAATGTCTTCCATCAGCTGAACCTCAAGGATGCCATGGAATACGTGGCTGAAGTGAGCATCATTTGTACATTTTCAGTATATTTTGCTGAAATGCTCATTATAGAAAACGAATAAGTTTGCCGCATGTAAAGAAAGCTCTGTCTTCTTCTGTTGCAGGGCGAGCGTAGAGGCTCACTGGAATTTATCCGTAAAGAAAGTGTCGCTATTGATTTCAGGAAAAAGTTTGAAAGTGAACACTCAGAGGACATGCCTGGCATGAGGGCGAACATGTCAAATGGTCACTGTGCAAAGCCCACTACGAGGTAAGCAATCTGGATTTTTCTGATAATAAGAGGAGAGCTACAAGCAGACTTACAAGCCATTATATAATTAGGTGGTGATGAATCAGAGGCCACAAAACATTATTTTAATTTGAAGAAAAATCTAACTAGCTAACTAGGAGCACTGCAACTATTCAGTGCCTGAAAACAGCTCATTTCACAACCCTATTTTAAAATATAAACCAGAGGGAACATAGCCCTTTTAACATTCTAGTATTACTTTAAATCGCTGACACGATTGTCTTCCTCTTTACTAGAGACCCTTTTCCATCAGTAAGCGTGGAAATGCACGAGCACGCCATGAAGGCTATGAACGAAGCTGAGGCAGCTAACGCTCACAACCTTCTGGATCAGCATCTTTACAAGAGCAGGAAGCAGGTAATGAGCACATTCAGTCATCACACGGAGGGCTTACTAAAGCAGCTTAGTGCTGCACTTTCATTTCATTGGAGTCAAAATGTTAAATGTTGTCATTGTGTTCCTTAAATTTGTAAGTCTTAGTTCAAGCACCATGATCAAAGACATTCCTTTGTTTCTGACCTCCCCAGCCTGTTGGTCGGGGAGGCTGTAGTGTTTTATTATAGGCACATCCTACGGTTAGCGTTCTGTTTCTTATTTAGTGAGGAGGTTTTACTTCCTGCCTTTGTGACCTCACCTGTGTTTGTGTATGTTGAGACCATTGGAGGGGCTAAGCCATATACAGGGTGGGGGAGATGATCCTTTTTGTGTGCAGGAGGTCACACAAATGCACACCCTAACACAAACACACACACACACACACATGCTCGCACATACATGCACACACACA